TCATGGTGGTTTGAAGTCAGAAGTCAACTGCCAGTTAAAAGACTTTTTTGCCGTATGAGTATACGTTGCCCAGGGTGCCCCAAGTGGAGGTAAGCCTATCGCGCACCCCATATTTGAGCATAGACAAAGAGAAAGTGATGAAAATGTCGCAGAGGAAACATGCCGTAACGTCTCTTTTCTTCTTCTTCAACATTTTAGCCACCTGTAATGGAAGCTGCCTTCCAGTTCGCGGCCGATTTCTGTCGACTTCATCTTAATGAAATTGAGATTGCTCTCTACTGTGCTGCCATACTAACAAAGCCAGGTTCGTTTTCGTGCATTTTGGGAATAACTTAAAACCCCCCCCCACACACACAGAAAAAAACTTTTATTTTCTTTATTTTATTGCAATATACATTTAATACTGAAATAATAAGTTTAATCTATATAAGATGTTAGTTTAGCTTTAAGTACTGCTTTCAGATTATAGCATTAGCAAGAACTTGGCATCAAATATAATCAGTAGTCAGTAAAACAGAGTTGAATGCAATCCAATTTACGGAGTTTTTTTCCCGCCAATTGTTTTGTTTAGATCGATCAGGAGTGACAGATGTAGAGAAGGCTAGATCTGTTAACCAACAATATCTGGCTCTACTGCGTTATCAGGTAGAAAATCGCTCCGAAGGACCTTTTGTACTGGAGAGTTTGAGTGCACTGTCAACCCGGTTGTCAGCATTCTCAGACATGATGCGAAAAGTCATGGCCTGGTTCCGGAAGTGGTGGCACACTACGAAGCTCTCCCCTCTGCATGCTGAAATCTACGACATACCACAGAATCAGAACCACACTCTGGCTCCACTCTACCCTAACTTCCAGGGTTCCGCGTATATACCACCCCCAAATCCTGAGTTGTATAGCAATAACACCTCCGCCTATTACCCGCTTAAAGAAGAACCATCACAGCCTCCATATCAGCAGTATTCCAGCCAGCCCGACTATGCCAACATGTACAGCAATGGCGCTCAGGGAGCTTATTACTCTTCTCAAGTTGAACAGTATTCTGACCAGGCTATGCACAGTCAACAGATACAGCAGTTCATGTACCTCAATGGTATGCAACAAGAGCGATGGCATGCCAGCGCCTTTGAGCCATACTCAACCGATATGGCCACCAATGGGAAGGCATATTCCCAGGAAGCACAACAAGGCAGTGTAGTTCATAACACCGAAGTCTCAAGGACCGATAGGGCATCCAATGGCTCCTATCAAGAAGAAATGAATAGAGCTAGAAGCCTAGGCTCAACTGAATCACCCGGAGCCATGCAGGGAGATTCAATTCAAAGTGTAACTAAGAGCTCAGAGGAACGGAGTGTCGCTCAGCAACAAATAGGAGACAATCCAATAGTTTCAGGGGATGATCCATTTGCTATCTACCAAAATGCGCGCATTCCCGTTGTTCCGGGATCTAGCAACAACAATGGCAGTGGACAAAATCAATTGTGGAGCAATCAAGAAGCTGACAAGAAGGATATAAAGGAGGAAATGCCAACGCTAACACCTGCTCCTGAAGTGTTGGCTTCTATTGAAAAAGCAAATTGCAAACAAGAACCGGAATTAAAAACGGAACTTAAAGAAACCGACGATATGGGGAAGTCAAATGTCGAAGTGAAAAGATCGGATTCATCGTAGGAGTCGAGGGGGGAAAGGAGTTTTGAACCATATTACCACCATCCAACTTGTACGCAGTACAGCGTAAATATTTATTAATTACTATCTATATAGACTCCCATCTCGCCCCATACTTCACAAGCCTCCCTTTGGAACATATTTATTTGATTTGACTATCCCCCCATTTTGTTATAATTTGAAGGTTTTAAGCAACTCTCCTGCCATTCAACAACTTTACATCATCATCATCAGTAAATAATTATGCGCAACCCATTGACACAAATTTTGCTCAAGGTCACTATCTCAGGTACCACAGGCATCTCAGGTGTCTGATTTTGTGTCTGATTGTATTCCTGTATGTCTGAATTTCCCAATCTCATCTCTCACTTCCATTCACGCTAC